CCCGGATGTGTTTAGGACTGCAGCTTCGGCAGACGGTGGTGACGATGGTGACGATGGGCCTCCTGAATGAAGGCCCCTTGGGGATGGCGGTGTGGCTGGCAGCAGCAGGGGAAGAAGCAGAGGCATGGGACCTGCAACCTGACCTTGCCATGGAGGCTGCTCCAGTGTGATCCTCCTGCCAGCCATGACCCCCTCTGTGAGACTCCATTCCATTTCCCCACCGCCATCTGGCTTTCGTAACCCAGCATCAGTCCACAGTTGTGCCTGCCAAGCATGCTCAGGTGGGAGTTTCTGGCGTTTCCTTCCCCATCTCTGAGACTGTTATTTCCTCCCAAAATTTAGCACACTCCTGCAAGCCTGCTGGAGGACTTTTCTTGTATGGGAGTGATGCCATTTTGGCCTTGGAAGTACTTCCTGCCTGGGCATCAGAAATGGAGCAACTCGGCCTCAGAAAGCTGGAATGCTTGGCCATTTCGCTGCCACCCGCAAAATGGGGACCGTGCCTCACTCCCAGGAAGAAAACCAGGGTAAAGGCAGCTCCATTTCCACATGCACCGTGAGACTCCCCGCACTTCTGGCACTGTCCCATTCCTCCTGCAACTGTTTGCAGTCCCGTTCAGCGATTCCCCTGCCTTCTCTCCGTTCCGTCCAGAGCTCACGGGCAACAGCGGCTGCAAACGGGCAGCCACCCCTCTCCCTGCGTAACTTTGCGACCGCCGCTACTTCCTGGCCCAAAAGGCTGTCCTGGCAAATGTGAAACACAGTTGGCAAGGGGGGTGTCGCACAGAGCATTCCAAGCGCCTTGGGGGATTATTGCGTTATTCGTGGTATTTATATCCCATCTTTTCCTCCTGCAAGCAGCCATCCTCCATTTTATCTCAGAACCACCCTGCAGGGTAGGCTAGGCTGAGAGTCATGGACTGGCCCAAAGTAGTCCAGGGAGCTGTGTGGCCTCGGTGAGGACTAGAAGCTTGGTCTCCCATCCCCATCCAGGGCTCCAACCCTCCGCCACATGGGCTGTTGCTGCAGGGGCCTGTGTGTAATCATTAGTGTGTGTTTATTTGGGATACCGCTTGGATGAATTCTCAGGAATAAGGCGTGTAGGTAAGGCTGTGACAGTGCTGGGAAATTAGGTGCATTTCAGCAGGACAGATTCTTCTGCCTGCTTCCGATCAGGTTTTGCACAGGCTTCTGTCTCTAAGACAGGGGGTGATAAGCTCATTGAAAATAAAAGCTGGGGAAATTAGCATTAATCAGAAGCCAAACATGACGTCGTTCTGGTGTGAATTGCACAAGCAGTGCCCAGATGACAGTCGGGGCTCCCCATGCCCAGATCATGCTAGTCCAGGTGGCACAAACACGCCCACGGCACAAATTTCCTCCGGCCCTTTTTGCAAGAGGAAAAAAATGCAGACATCACGCTGCCTTCGAAATCGAAGTCCATGAGCTTGTACCAGATCCACTTAGCACCCGCCTGGCACAGGGGAAGGGGCATGAACCGGAATCCAGGAGTCGAATTGTGAAAATTCATCACGTTTTCACCTCTTTATTGATTATCTATAAGTAAATAGGATGGATGCAGGAAGGCCGCAGGTGTAGGTTCTGGTGATGAGCTTTGCAGGATCCACAGTGGACTGGCAAGGAACGCCTTCGAAGGCCGCGCCTGAAATTCTACTGCTGCAACGAAGAAAGTTCAGGATATTTATTTATTTATTTTAGACGGTTCTATGCCTCCCCCATTACAACAAAGCCTCGGGGGGGCTCACAAAGGATACATAAATACATAAATAATAACAATGTAACAAATAAAAAAATTTGTTTAAAAACCCCCGGTGCATTCTCGGCTGAAAATTTAAAATCCTATTAATCCAAATAATTCAACAATTAAAATAAGTTTTAAATAAAAAGGTCTTTGCCTGGCGCCGAAAAACAAATAACGATGGCGCCAGGCGGACCTCCCTGGGGAACACATTCCAAAAATGGGGCGCAACTGCAGAGAAGGCCCTCCTCCGGGTGCTCACCCTCCTAATCTCATTCACAGAGGGTTCCTGGAGAAGGGCATCTGTTGCTGATCTCAAGGGGCGGGAGGGCATATATGGACGCAAGCGTTCCTTTAGATATCCAGGTCCCAAGCCGTTGAGGGCTTTATAGGTCATCACCAACACCTTGAATTGGGCCCGGACTTCAACTGGGAGCCAGTGGAGCTGAGGGAGAACTGGGGTTATATGAGAACGACGCCCAGTCCCCGTCAGCAGCCTGGCAGCTCTATTCTGCACCAATTGAAGTATCCGGACTGTCTTCAAGGGCAGCCCCACGTAGAGCGCATTGCAGAAATCTAATCGGGAAGTTACCGACGCGTGTGTCACTGTCGCCAGGCAGTTGTTCTCCAAGAAGGGATGCAGCTGATATATCAGCTGAAGCTGAAGGAAGGCGCTCCTCACCACCGCCGTCACCTGAGCTTCTAGAGACAGCGCAGGGTGGAGGAGCACTTCTAAGCTGCGGACCCTGTCCCTCCGAGGGAGTGCAACCCCATTCAGGACAAGGCCCAAGTCACCTACCCAGGAGCTCGAACCACCCACCACCAGGACCTCCGTCTTGCCTGGATTGAGCCTCAGTTTATTGGCCCTCATAAAGCTGATCTGTGTGTTGCCAGGGTCTGCTTGGAGCAGGTGCGGGATCGTGGGGAAAGCGCACGTGTGCCATTCCATTCTGGGGCTGCAGACAGATTCCTAGGCTCAGCAGGCTTCCCCCGCCTGACGCCCTGCAGGTGCTTTGGGCTGGCATTTCCATCCTTCCCAGAGGGATGGCCATTGGCAAGGAGAAACGTGTTTCCCTAAACCCTTCACCGGCACAGGGAATTAATTGCTGCAGGACTCCGGGATTCTGCGACCCGTCCCTGTCTCATGACCACTGGGAGGTCCGCGTTGAGAAGGTGTTATTCAGGGAGCACGAACGGAAGGACCCGCTTCCCCACATTTGGCCTTAAGCCAGGGCAGTTGCTGGCTGCTCTTACAGAAAATTTGGAGAGGGACCCCGACGCTTCACGTATCCGTGTGCCTCTCCCGGCAGGTTAGCACTCATCCCCTCTGCCATTGCAGGGTGTGGAGCCAACTTAAGGTGACCGGTGCCTGGGAAAAGCTGGCCTGCGCATCGCCGAGCTCCTGTTTGGAGCTGTGCGGGACCGACAGCAGCTCTGCCACTTGGCTGGAGGACTGAGCGTGGCTTCCTGAAAGGCTCCTGGCTCGGATGTGCCACTTCGGAAGGGCAAGGGAACTTGCCCAGAGGGGTGTGGGTTGGGATGAGGCGGGATGCGTGTCGGATGCTCTCCCGGAGGAGGCAGGGCCCCCAGGCCTGGCTTCTTTTCCAAAGCAACGCTTTGGCCTTTGGGCACAACTGGCAGCAGCTTCCCTGGGCGGTCTAGGCAGCTGCATGACTCGCGCAGCGCTGGAGAGCTGGAGTTTCCCCTCTGTGCCTTCCGACATGCTCGTGTTGTTGCCGTGTTCCACTTCAAGCCACCGTGTTTTATTTCTTCGGTGCCCCTCAGCATTTGCATGAGCGTGGGTCAGAGAGGAGGAGGAGGAAAGATGGTGCCGGAAAGGTCAGCCATGCGGAGCGATGGCCGAACAGGGCCGAAAAGTTCCAACTCTCCTGGGTAATTCGCTTGGCTGCGTGAAATGAGCTAATTTGAGGTGACTCCTGAAAGTGGAGAACTGAGGATGTGAGATCAACCACATCCTTAAACGTGAAAAGTTTCTTATTCCACTGTGACTGGGCGCATTTCTAGAGGAGAAGTCCTGCTGGCTATGGGCTGCCTCCAATATCAGAGGCAGTATGCCTATGTACACAATGGCTGGGGAAGATGGGTGGATGAGTACTGCTACCTCATGGCCTGCTCTTAAGTTCTCTTGTAACACTCCTTTGGGTTTTGCTGTTTTACTTTTCATATTTGCTTCCTGGTGGCCTTTGGATTGGGTTCCTTATTTATGGAATACTCTCTTGCACAATCCTGGGGCCTCCAAGGCAGGAGGTTCTCAAGAGGAAGCAAAGGAATGTCAGTGCACCATGAATGGGTAGAATCCATGGCCCTATAGACACAGTGGTCCCTCAGCTGAGATGGATGATGGGACACTATCCATGCTAGGAGAACGGAGTTGGAGGTCTTTGACCAGACTCTGCTGCAACGCTGCATCCCCAGCATCACTCAAGGGGATGGACTAGATTGCTTCCGAGGCCCCGTCCCACTCTAGGAGACTGTCAGGCACACACAGCACAGCTTTCATGCCAGCCGCCAGGGGCCAGCATGATTGGAGAGCATTTGCGAACTTGCTAGGAGCACCCAGATGGCCACTGCGGAACCCAAAACCCCCAAATTCTCCACTCCTTCAAAGTAGCTGGTGCGGGGGAGGGGGGTGCCTTTGCCTCGACGCCAAAATGACATCAGGGAAGATGCCAGGCAAGCTTCCTTGGGGAAAGCATTTCAGAAGTAGGGTACAACCCCCCAAAAGGCCCTTTCCCGTGTCGTTTCTCCATCACATATCGGGTAGCTGTGCCTCATAGCCAGGATGTTACACCACGTCTCAAACCATAGAGGGGCCCTTGCTGAGGGAGGGATACGGAAACAGAAGTCCCCGCAGGGAGGATCCCAGCCTCCCCGTGGGGTCCGTGCGCACACAGGAGGTGCCCTTCACTGCCTGGTGGCTCCAGACATTTTGGACCACGGCTCTGCTCAGCCCCAGCCAGGGAGTCACCTGGAGGGGTCCCTCTCCCCTCAGGTGGACAAGGAATCCAGAAAGCAGAGGAGCCCTCCTCCCAGAGGGCCACCTTCCCTCGGGTTCTGTAGCAGGGATGGTCCTTCCCCTGGAGAAGCCGCAAGGGCTTCTCAGGTTCTGCTGCTGCTGCTCCTCATTTTGAGGGCTGGGTGGCCAACCGCGGGGCTCTTCCCAGGCCAGGAAGTGCTGCCAGCCGCTCCCTCCTCACGCTTCGTCCCGCTTTCCCCACAGTGCTTCTCCGAGAAGAGGTGTCCCAGCTGCAAGAGGAGGTCCACTTGCTCCGACAGATGAAGGACATGCTCACGAAAGACCTGGAGGAGACTCACGGCGGCAAGTCCACCGAAATCCTGTCCGCCACCGAGCTCAAAGTCCAGCTGGCCCAGAAGGAGCAAGAACTCGCAAGAGCCAAAGAAGCGCTCCAAGGTAAGAGCTGAGCAAGGGCGTGGCGGGACCCGGCCCGGCCTCGTGGTTGGTTTGCTCCCGAACCTGGAAGATCTCCTGTTTCGGGGGACCTTCTGTGCGTCTCGTGCTGCATTCGTGCCCTGCTCCTCCTCTGCTGCCCTCGCTGCCCACTGGCCTCACTGGCCTTCGCTGCCCTTTCATCCGACTGCCTGAGCCAACCTGTGCCGTTGCGACTGCTCTGGAATGTCGTGAATACAACCCTGGGGGAATCCCTCCGGCGGCGTGATTAACCATCAGCGCTGGCCGAGGAAGGCAAGCAGAGTGAGGGCAGCAAAGAGGAAGCAAGGCGGCCCCCAAGGAGGCAGCGCCGGGGCTGTGGGAAGGCTCCAGGGAGCACTGAGGCTGCGGAAAAGCCGATCTGGGGTGCCTCCAGGTGAGAATTCCATGGCCCGAGCCCCCTGATGCATTCACAGAACGTTACGGGGCTCCAGATGCCGTTGTCTTCCCATCCTAACCCTTCCGCCACTTCCTCTGGCCTTTTCCTTACTGTGGAAAGTCCATGAAGGATGAAGAGACGGAAGAGCCGCACGGGATGTCCCGACCGTGTGTTCTGGGTGTTTTTTTCTGCCAGCCTTGTCCGCTGCCTCTCTTAGCTCAGAGACAGGACAGCTGGCCCTCTGTCACTTGCTGGAGCATGGCCGTTGGCCAGGGATGATGGCAGTCGTAGTACATTTTGAAGTGCGCCACGGCAGTCTTATTAGAGAGGTGAAAAATTGGGGCGGTGATGTTCGTCCGTATCAAGAAGCGAGTTTTCCTCTCCTCCGTGGGCAGATGATTTGTTCAGGCCAAAGGGTCTTGTTTCTGTATTCAGGGCTTGGCATGGGCAGAGGGGGCACCGTGCCGTTGCCGGGAGAATTCAGGGCACACGCCGGCTGCCCTGAGGGTGGTCGCCGTGCTCTGGGAGCGCGGAAAGTCTGCAGGGGTCTCAGCAGAAGGCACCGGTGTTGAGTCCCCAGAGCCTGCCTCTGCTGTACCACAGGTCCAACCAGGGTCAGGATCCGTCCCTCCAAGCATCTGTGGGCTCCCTCTGGTGCTCAGCCCTCTTGCACAGTGCGCAAAGGCGAAAGCGAGAACCCCAGTTGTGCGACCAGCAACTTCCTTCTGCTGCGGCCGCGGTGGCGCAAGAGGCAGCGGCAGCTCCCATGGAAGAGGGTGGCAGCTCACACAGGGGGCAGCTCCCCGGCGAGCCCCCGCAAGTCGGCCTTTCCTGGGCGCTGGCTGCAGCCGCCCAAAGGGGTGCTGCTCACACAGAGCAGCGTGTGGGGCCTGAATCCTGGCGAGCACCCCCTGAACGCCGGGCACCCCAGCGGGAGCTTGGAGCCCCAGCTGCTGCAAAAGGGACCGGCGTCCAGGGGGCTGAGCCCAGGGGATCTGCTGGACGCCTGTCCACAGATGGATTCCTCGCACTCCTCCCGTGGCCTGCCGGCGGCCCTGCCCCGCCTGAGCGGCTGATGGCGCGCAGCACCTGGTAGAGGCATCCTGCAGGTGAGAGGAAGGGCAGAAGGAGCGGCCGCTGGGCAGGTGCTCCGTGTCCTGCTGGGAATCAGAGCCTTCGCCTCAGCAGAGGCAGAGGGTGTCCAGAGGCTAAGGGGTGCCTTTGAAGTAGCCTTTGCCAAGCCTGCTGCTTCAGTGATGCTGGACTACAACTCCCAGCATGCTCTCGCCAGCCAGACTGGCCCTGGCAGGGCTTCTTGATCCGTCCCGTGCTGCTTTGCAATGGTGCAAGGAAGGAAGCAAGGAAGGAAGCAGGGATCCTCTTCTCTAATGAACTAGACATTCGGCGTGGCTGCGGTTTCCTCACAGCCGCGCTGGGCCGGCCGGCCGGCCAGATTGCATCCATCCATCCCAATTACCCGCCGAGGAAGGCGGCTCCGAGCGAAACTTGCTGGCAGCGGGAGACTCTAAATAAAGGCTCCCCACGCCCACCAAACCGCACGTAGGTTTCACTCGTCTGGTGCCTTTCCAGAAGTTGCAGCGAGAGGCCGTCAAACGCCTTTAGCCTCAAGCATTGTGGATGCGCCGGGTGCCTCGCATGCAGGCGGGAGCGAGAAGGGGCGGGAGACGCATGGCGGCGCAGCGCTGAGAGGGCCGCTGTCGGGGGGGGGCAGCTGAGTGCGGCAGGAGCAAGCGAGCCCAGGGCCTGCGGGTCGGTGGGGCGAGGGTGCATACAGGAACTGCGGCCGTGGGGAGAGAAGGTGCGGACTGTGAGATGGGGAGGGCGCATTCATTCCACCCCACCGCAGTTTCCCTTTAATGTCCCAAGTCTGCATTCTGGGGGAAGCATCTAAGTTTCATGCAGCTGTTGGTAACTTCTTACTGAAGGTCTTGCTGGAGGTTGTTTGGCCAGCGCGTGCGCTGGGAAAGAAGGAGGCTGCGCAGTTTGTCTCTGCCGGGTCTGCGCCCAAAAGTTTTCCTGCTTCCTGTCACGGGGAGCATAGAAACATAGAAACAGAGCGAGTCAGAAGGGGTCCCCCAGGCCATCTAGTCTGACCCCCGGCTCCAGCCTGGAAGGTTGTGGTTCACTATTGCATGTGTGCAGGGTGCATGAAAGAACGCAGGTTAGCACCTGGCAGGTGGCGCATGAAGGGGCAAAAGATAGCTGGCTGGCCGTGGAAAAGTTGCCCATGCATCCAGCTCATTCTTACGACAGTGTGACTGCCCTGGAAATTTATTCTCCGTTGCTAAACAAGCGCCATCCATTCTGTGCTCTGTGTTGCACCAGTTTTATACCTGAACGGGTGACAGGCACACGATCCTCTACCCGCCCCTCTTCCCCCAACTTGCCCAGGAAGGTCTCCGCCTTCAGCTCAGCACAGCTCGCCACTTTGGTGAAGCCACACGTGCCCGGTCAGCTCAAAGGACGGTCTGTCCACCACTCCTTGCTCTGCCCAAGCGGCAAGCTGCGGTTACGCAGAAGCAGACGGGGCCCCGTCCAGGCTCGTCCCTGCAGCCGCATCCCTTCGGGGTGGCCTTCAAGCCTGGAGCAATCTCGATTTGCAGAGCATTTCGTGATGTGGCGGAGCATCTCCCAGACCACCTGCCGTTGAAGAGTTTGGTCTGCAAAGGCTTGTCTTTCCCCACCCCTAAAACTCCCCAGAGGCCTGAGGGAACCAATTTAGAAACCTTCCGCAGGGGAAGCGTTCTCTTTCTGGAGCATTTAATAATGATAATGACACTTCACAATTCCCAGCCTGATTACTGGTCCAGCTGAGATGGGCGTGCATTTTTCCAGCAGTGCTCACAAACCGTGCCTTACAATGCCCCGGCCTAAAACGGGTGGGCAGCCCAAAGGGCGGGGGGACAATTCACCAAATTTCTGCAAGGAGAAACATTCTGCAGCAGTCGGCCAGTGTTGGGCTCACCGTGGACCCTGCGGGCACACAGCCTGTTGGGTTTCCTGGACTTCGCTTGCTGTACTTCAGGTACTTCGCTGACACTTTAAGGAAAGCGTGTGCCCCTGCGTTTGCGGGAGTGGGGGAAAGGCGGGCAGATGTTGCCAGCAAAAATTATTGGAGAGTAAGGACAGAAAATGCTGAAGAGTGGCCTACTTTTGCTAGAAGAACTTTGAAACGAGTGCAAGAGCTCAGAAACTCTTCCAGGAAGGAAATGCCTTCCGAGAAATTCTGACTCGGCTCTGCCCTCCTCCGAGGGTGGAAGATTGTGCAGCTACAGGCACCGTTCTCCCGCGGAACATGGGTACTTGTCTGACTGCACCTCAAAGGCTGTGATGGTGCTTCTCCCCTCTCAGCACGAGCTCAGCAACATGGGCCAGGTGGTTAGTAACAGACATGAATGCTCACTTGGAGGTGTACTATGTACTTTGACGCATATTGTTCATCGCTAAAGCTTCCAAACCCACAAAAATTGCTGAGATGCTACTTTCCTGAGCCCCTGAAACTACAGAGTTCTGTTCTAGAAGGAGCTTAATTTATAACGATGTGCATGCAAAGTAGGTTTAATCAGGCTGCCTCAGAGAGCCATGGAAACACGTTTCTGGTGAGGGTTTTGATCGCAGGTTTACTGTAATGCAAATAATATGGTAAGCGCCTAGCCTTCCCCTTCGGGCTCAGGGCAGGGGTGGGGGATGCTTCACATAATGTGGGGAGGAGTGAAAGCAGAGCCGTGCGGAAGACTTGTGTGGAAACAAGCCACTGAGCTGGGAGTCGGTCGGACTGAATTCGGCAGCTGCGCTGGGGTGTTGCTAGACCCGGGCCACCCCAGAGCCTGTTCCTCAGAACCCAAGGGACTGTCAGTGCCAATGGGAGGGTTTTTTCTGCAGCCCAATTGCCGTGAAGGGGGCAATTTTCAAGGGGGGTCCCAGCTGCAGGGGCCAAATAATAGAACACCCAATCCCCTGTCCCCAAAAGAAACCCATTGTAGGGTTCGAGCACAATCCTATGTGTGGGTAAACCAAAAAAGGTCCTAGATGTGGGACTTTTCTCTTCCTAAATATGCATAGAATCATATATCTACACACGTGTTTTAGCAGAGTTTGGTGCCCTCTTCGCCTGGATCCCAGTTCTTCCCGGTGGCTGGTGGGGCCCCCAGCTGGGACTTCCGTAGCGTGTCGAATTGCCTAGCAGGCCACGTGGTCTGTTGAGAAGATGTTTGCAGATCGGGATCGCTCTTGCAGCCCGGGAAATAGTGCCCAGTGTACGCCGGCTCCTTTCGGCCAAGCCGTGGGCCATGCTGGTGTGGCTCTCCGCTCGGGCACCAAGCCCAGGGAACACCCAGCACCGGGGGGCTACACTGGGAAGGGGACACTGCACCCCTCGTTGTCCTACTTGTGGGTTTCCGAGGGAAAAGGGGAGTGTGAAACAACAGTAAACTTTGGTCGGATCCCGGACGGGCTGCCGCTGCAGGTGTGCCCCAAGTGCCTCCTGCCTCAGAGGGAGGATTCATTTCAAGTCGCATTTTGTAGGATTCGTTGCCTCTGGAGGGTCACCCGATGGCAGAGCTGG